CCTTCGCCTCATCTCTTCAGAGTGCCAGTCGATTCTTGAGACAAGACGGACCAGCTCTTAAGTCTGCTTCGGACCTCGTGTACTTAGGCCAGTGATGACTTCGTGGACAACACGCCTGGCATCAGCAAATGTGCCAGCGAAGCTGCTTGCCGATCTGCGCTCTTCATTTGATGAATTCGGAAGTGGCGGGGTGCTTGCGCTGAGCACTGGAGAACTGGAATTCCGCGTTCACCACACGCAGTTGTTTGTTCCAGCCTGATGACGCGAAGAGAACGTCCAGTCTCATCCAACGCAATTCGAAACCGGATATCCTAAGTGGCGTAGCGGTTGACGACTTCCTCGTGGTGTGTTCTGGGATCATTCACCTGCCGTCGAGCATCGGTTCAGAACCCGTCCGTCCAGTCGAGAAGTGTCCTCATCCGAGTTTCAGTCCCGAGTGCGTCTCCGTCTGTTTCATTACTCGCTGCTGAAAGAATGCGCCATGTTTGCGTAATAATCCTTTCCGGTGCGTAAGTAAGACAGCTGATGTGCATTTCACTGGGGCCTTCAAGCGCCCATGAAATCTGACAGACGTAAGCAGACGCCAGTGCCAGCCGCGGTTTTTGTGAATTGAATTTAGTGGCGCGCGTGTTTTCTACATTTAAGGAGTAAAAGCTAAACCCAGAGGATGAAAGTGCTGATGTGGCATCTGCGACAACATTTCGAAAGGAGAACTAGTAAAATTATTTTATCCAGTGAAGCTACTGGACAGGTTGTCATGAACGAAACCTAAAAGAACATTAATTTTAAAAGGGGTTTATTTCTGTAGTAATTGGCGGAGCAGAGAATATCCTTCCGTTTCGTTTGTTTACTCGCGTGCCAAAGAAATCCAGTCAGTCTGGTTGGCGTCTGGTATCTGCAAAAACAGGCTTGAAGAAGGTGGAAAGTGTTCGCTTGGTGGCAGCCCGTGCTCTTAGCAACCGATCGTTTGCCTAACTGTTCGACGAGCTTCAGGCTCGGTGTCCCGACTCCCTGCGCCGAACACTGTCCGTTGTGTAAGTCGGGGTCACGGAATTTGATTGCTTTATTTAAATGTTGGACGAAGTTGTTTTTCTAACGGAAAAGTAGCAAGAGTTTGCAGAACTTATTGGAAATGAATCGGTTGAGAGATTTAATGGGTTTACCCCACTTTAAGAGACTGTAGAGCGTACTAATAAAACGATAAACAGCTTTCAAGAAAACCTCTTTGAGTCTTCTGTAGAGATCTTGCTACAGAGAATTTCAAGTATTTTCCATCACTGAAGAAATATTGTCAAAAATTCCCCCACTAGTCGCTGGCGGTTCGTGGGTCACTATCAGAAACCACAAATAAATAGTTAATTCCGAGGGATCTGTGTAATTTCGTAATCTTAAACTAACTTTGCAGTTGAGTGTTACTGATTACTCACCATGAATAGACGAAATGCAGCAGCTAATTTTGAAACACGTCAAATGCAATCCCGTGATGTCTTCTCGTCGATAGCCAACGGAAGGGGCTCTCTCTGTGTTGCCTCACGTGAAGAGCTGTCCGTCCATCCAGTGGTGCGTGCGATGGCAGGAACTTCGTCCTCCGTGGTGTGCCAGTCAGTTCTGAGTTCGATCCTGAGATGAACATAAACGGGACATTTAACACCTGCTTCGTTGCGAACCTTTCTTCATCAGAATATGTGATCGAGTTTTCATTCATTGTTTTAGATAAGTCCGGGTCTCGCCAGACTCAGTGGCGCCGCGGGCGTAGAAATTTCTCTGCGGAGGAGCAGTTGCTGCCCCAGTATTTCACTGCGATTCGGGTCACGTGGTCAGGCGAAGCGATGAATTTTTGTTCTGTCCCCGATGATAAATGTGCTCGAGTGGGTGGTTGCTCCGAATTCAGAGTTTGGACCAAGCTGCCGTCGGTAGCTTGTGCGCGGTAGGACGCGTTGGCTCAAGGCACTTCGACGCCGATCTTCGGGGATTGCTTGCGGCGTCCGATCTGATTCTTTGTTGTGGTGAGTGAGATTGGCTTTGCTGTGTGTAGACTCAGCCATGTTAGAAACAAAGGAACTCCATTTAACTGTTGGCAAGAATTCAACACAATTTCGAAATTAACTTTAGTATTCGGGTAGAGGAAGTAATTAATTAAACAAAGTGATCATACCGGTTACCTTTGTGTCGGTAAGGAAGTGCGCCACATCACCGATTTGCTGTTCATTGCCATCGACACTCGACTGCCACAGCGACGTCCCGAGACGAGACGAGAGTTAGATTTGCGACGCCTTCCTTGAGACTGGAAGAGCGAATGCGATTACGCAATTGGCATTCGGAGTTTGCAGGAAGCCTTAATATTCACCTTGATTTATACTTATTTAACGACGCTTTTCAGTAGCTGAGTTTATTTAGCGTCGAATGAGAGAGAGGCTGCTTTAAATGAAAACTAATTCAGATTTCGAATTCGAACCAAAACGTAATAGAATAAATGTTAGGAATTTCAGGAGGGCAGTTAATGTGACGCCGCGTAATGTGATGTGTGACGTGTTGCAGACAACGTCCCGGAGCGGCTACCGGAGACGGACGATGAAGGAATCGAGCGGGACTCGAGCGAGGGAGACGAGGAGTCCACCAGTTCTCAGCGTCACGT